AAAAGTAGTAAAAATATATATTAAAGGTATATGAATATATAATTTCTTATATTTTGAATGTGTATCAGGTATAAAACGTCATGCAAAATGTATAACAAAAATACATACACATATATAAAATATATTTTGAATGTGTATCAGGTATAAAGCGCCATGCAAAATGTATGTAAAAGAAAAATAATACATATACACATATATAAAATATAAAACACACCATAAACACGACATCTGCTGCAGATGTGAGTGTTTCCTCAGCATCTTCCCTCCAGCAGGTGATCTGAGGTTTTCCTTTTTGATCACAACGTTCTCCCGTCGAAGGAAGTTTAAATGTCCCTTGTGCCCTCCTATATCCTGGGCAGGTGTCGGGAAAGATACCTTCTTCCGGAGGGACACCTTTCGGATATGCCCTACTGACATAGATAGAAGAGTCTTAAAAGTAATAATTATTAAACTTTCAGTACTGTGAGGAATGGGGCATTATGGACCTGAGGTGTTGTACTGTACTGTGCAAATAGAATATATTGGTACATCCTGAGGAAGGGCATCCAGCCTTAATACCCCAGCTCCAACCTATCACTGTCCACTCCCAATTGAATGGGGATTAATATTGACATATAAAACGACAAACAACATTATTACATACTGTGTATCACATTACTGTGTACACAGATTGGTAAATCACTAAGAGTTTCTTGAGTGTAATGGCACATACAGGGCTTCACAGTACTATGTTTAGAGAGTTACTTTAGACTGATAAAGTACTTTGTGTCAGTACTGCGTGCTTACAGGAATTCTTCTGTAGATTGGTGCACTGTATTGTATGTAGTACTTTGTAAGGACTAAAATAGCTTAGCGCACTAATTTGTGGATTCCTGTTACACAGGTCATAGGTTCGAATCCCGATGATTGGAGGTAGAATATATTTACAAAAGCTATATGGAAATATATCAATGCATACTTGCATTACATTCCTCTGTCAATAATAATAATAATAATAATAATAATAATAATAGTAATAATAATAGTAATAATAATGATGATAATGATGATAGTGATGATGATGATGATAATAATAATGATACTGATGATGATGATGATGATTATTATTGTTATTGTTATTATTATTATTATTATTATAATTGCTATCATTATTACTGCTGTTTTTCGTCCGTTAGCATTAATCTCTCTCAGACAGGTACTAGTCCCGCTGCTCAAGTGAAGGCGATTTGCTCTTTAACCGTATCATCCCTCTTCTTATCTTACGAATCTATCTTGACCAAGACAAAGATTCTCCCATAAGCTATAAGACCACAATATTGATATCAAATTAAGTTACTTTGGTTATTTACTTATTTGCAATATATAATTATCATAGTTCATTTATATATTTACTTGTTTGTTTTATATAGGACTTACACATATATTTTTATTTTCATTTATGTCTACGTATATATATATATATATATATATATATATATATATATATATATATATATATATATATATATATATATATATATATATATATATATATATATATATATATATGTATATATATATATATATAGATATAGAGATATGCCCATCTATGTGAGACAGTGTGTGAGAGACTGTGTGAGTGAGTGAGTGTGTGTGTGTGTGTGTGTGTATAATTTCCTTATTATTATTATTATTATTATTATTATTATTATTATTATTATTATTATTATTATTATTATTATTCTTATTTTCCTCCTCCTCTCCTCCTCCTCCTCCTCCTCCCTCCTCCTCCTCTTGAGAACGACTTGCATTAAATGGCGACAGATCTTTAAATGAGAAAGGTGGAGCCTTCTCATCTCGAAGGGCGTGTCTGTTCCGTTGGGGGAGAGAGCCTTCCCTTGTGCCCCTTTTTTTGATCTATTGTTAATTTTGACCTTTTAGCGCCCACTTAATAACGTACCCTGAATGATCTGAGACTCTCATTATCTCAATTAGCTCATTATCTTATAAGTAATTAGCATCGGAAGTCAGCGGTTGAGATCGTGTACTTCTGTTTTGCATATCATTTTCATTTAAATGTATGTTTGTATATGTAAATCGTAGTCTCCGTGGCAAAATGGTAGCGTCTGCGACTCTGAGGCGGCAGGTCGAGGGTCCGCGCCCCATCACGGACTGAGGTTAGTAAGGGCATACACTCAGGGTAACGATTACATCTGCCAAAACAAGTCCTTCTTAAGAAGGCAACCGTCCTAGCCCTTAGTAGAAAAAGGGAGTTCGTGACATAAAACCGAATCCAATCGTTTGTATATGTAAATCATTTTCGAAATACCCATATTCGGACCCACCGTGGGGCGTTTGGAAGGGCATCCAGCCTTTAATTCCCCACCTCGATTGCGTATATATCACTTTCCGGATCGAGTATTCTAACTCCTACGCCACCGCGGTTGCATAATAACTTTTTATGTACGTTGAGGCATTAGAGGCAACTGAAATACTGAGGTTTACGAAGACAAGCTTTGCGATCAGCCTTCGAGGAGTCGAACTCTGGACCTCCTGAGTGGGAGCCAGACACTGATCCATTGAGCTAAGGAGGTTTGTATTTTGCATGAACGACCTTAGAGATCCGACCTCGGGTCTCTTGACTTTGAGGTAGATATAATCCGTGAACTAAAATATATCCAACATTGTGGGTGTCCATTTTGTTTCCATTCGAATGGGGGGTGGACAGATACAAGTCGGGACTTGGGGATTTAGAATGGATGCCCTCCCATACGTACGGCAATGGGCTCGAACCCTCGTTAGTCGCTTCCCAACTCGCGCTGCCTACCACTGCACTACCGCGGCCCCAAGCCATGAGGGGTAAAAAAAAGATACTTCATTACCAGGATGTTGGATCCGTTCTGAAAATAAATATCTTTTCCTCTATTTACAGCTTTTTCCCACAGTTCCGTGGGGTCGCTATCCGATTATAATAACATACGTCCTCGTGTAATTATGTTAAATGTTCGTTGCGTCAGAGAGATCAATCCTAGATTAAGCACCTGATGAAATGATAAGGTGTCTAAGCTTATAATAATAATAAAAATAATAATAATAATAACAATAATAATAATGATAATAATAATATTAATAATCATAATAATAATAATAATAATAATAATAATAACAATAATAATAATAATAACAATAATAATAATAATAATAATAATAATAATAATAATAATCACAATAATAATAATTAATAATAATAATAATAATAATAACTATCATTATTATTATCATCATCATCACCATCATCAGCATCAGCATCAGCATTATCATCGATATAATAATTATATTGATGTTAATAACAGTAACGACTTTTGTCTTTTTTTTCTTCCCGTCTCCTTGTGGTCATTATTTCATCCTACTTCATCTTACGTCTTCCTATATCCTCTTCCTGCTGTCTCTTTCATCTACTTCTTCCTGAATTAGCATCCATACACCTGCTCTCTTCCCTATCCGTACTCTAGGTACAGGTACACTCTTCTTCTTCTTCTTCTTCTTCTTCTTCTTCTTCTTCTTCTTCTTCTTCTTCTTCTTCTTCTTCTCCTCCTTCTCCTTCTTCTTCTCCTCCTTCTCCTCCTCCTCCTCCTCCTCCTCCTCCTTCTTCTTCTTCCTTTCTAACTTTATCTCTTCCTTCTATTTTCTTCTTATTGTCATTCTTCCTTTTTTCTCTTCTTCCATCTGTCTTTTCTTCTTCATATTCTTCTTCTTCTTCTTCTTCTCTTCTTCGCTTTTTTTTCTATTATTTTTTTCTGTTCATTGGGTCTTTTCTTTGTGTATGACAACTGCTTTCTTCATCTGCAGTATTTTTTATATTTGTATCACAATTGGAGAGAGCATCATTTCTCTCTCTCTCTCTCTCTCTCTCTCTCTCTCTCTCTCTCTCTCTCTCTCTCTCTCTCTCTCTCTGCTGTGTCGTGTGTGTGTGTGTGTGTGTAATAGTAATTTTTTTTTATACATTAAGATATAATTATGCCTTTTGAATAATACCAAGATGGACTTCATAATGTTCCGGTTTTACGTCACGGACTCCTCTTCTCCAAGGGCTAGGACGGTTGCCTTCTTGCGAAGGACTTGTTTTGACAGATGTAATCGTTACCCTGAGTGCATGCTCTTGCTAACCTCAGACCGTGACGGGGCGCGAACCCTCGACCTGACGCCTCAGAGTCGCGGACGCTACCTATCTGTCATACTTCTGTATATCTGTTCTATCTGTGATGTACAGTATATGTTCATCTATATATCTACTTATTTATATGTCTATCTAGCTATGCAATTATCTAGCTAGATGTCTACCTAGCCATGTGTGTATATGTCCATACATTATCTCTCTCTCTCTCTCTCTCTCTCTCTCTCTCTCTCTCTCTCTCTCTCTCTCTCTCTCTCTCTCTCTCTACCCCTTCTGCTATGGACTCCCTTTTCCTATTTGCCGGTTGCCTTTGTCTCACGTGCTTTGTCTAATCCCCCCGTCACCCTTCGTAACAAACAACTTGATTTATAATCCAGAAAGCAACAATAACAAAAACAACAAGAACAACAATAACAATAATAACAACAGCAACCATGTTGTTCCCCCTTTAAATATTTTCTATTTAAATCTCAGCCATGGGTGACATTGCCTCGTAAACACATTCCTCTCTCTCTCTCTCTCTCTCTCTCTCTCTCTCTCTCTCTCTCTCTCTCTCTCTCTCTCTCTCTCTCTCTCTCTCTCTCTCTCTCTCTCTCTCTCTATCCTTCCCCCATGACCTAATTTTCCACCCTTGAATGAGTTGCCCATTTAAATATTCAACTGGAAATATCTCTCAGGTGGGTGCCACTGTAGCTCAGTGGTAGAGTGCGCGACTCGGGAAGCATCTGACGTGGGTTCGAGGCTACTGCTGGACGCTAGGAAGTGAATCCAGTCTTACTCCCCAGCTCCAGCTTGTCTGTGTCCACCCCTATTCAGAGGGGCAATTTGTAACCCATAACACAGGGCATAATATAATTTATCTAGCAGGTGGCTGCACGAACTGGATGTGCATTTACGTGACGTTCGATTTGTTACACCCACATCTCGATGACAGGAATGGCTGTGCTGTGTGTAAGGAATTAGTCATATACTAATAAAAAAAATTATATATAATTATAATTCCTCTTTCATTAAATTGAAATATATATGATTATATAATTAATGAAGATAAGTGAAATGTGAATAATTTATTATTCAACACGTGGTTAGATTAGGAAAGGGGCAATTGCTCAAGTGAACAATTGTCTTAAGGGGCAAGTCCTACCTTCTTATACACACATACTGATATACCAATAGTAAGACTTCTGCTTTTAAAATCTTGTGATTACGAAATTATGTACTATGAAATCTGTTGGTACAGAAATGCATGTACATTGTGACATGTTTTCGTGAGTTAACTAATTGTGCGAAAATGGAGTTACATACCATTCCAGTGAGGCATTTAACCAAAAGCAAAACCCTTCCAGGTTTCTTGTTTTTGCCCCGAAACAGGAGTCACAGAATGTACAATAGAATGACGGTTAGATCAAATTGAAGCTTATGCAGATAAGGTAAACTTGATTTGCGATTTCCTGTAAACAATATTTTGACATAACTCTTGCCTATCTCCCCCCCCACCTCCTCATTCTTTCTCTCCCCCCCCTCTTCCAGTGAGGAGAGGGGGGCAGATAATGGCGTGGCCGGTAATAAAGTCACAGGAAAACAAGTGAAGAGGTAAAACTTCACAGGTTAACTTAGGTTAGGTAGATTAGGTTAGGTTAAGTTAGCCTTTTTGCCGATAACTTTTTTCTATGACTTTTACCTGAATTCGATGACGAGAACCAAACTCGACAATCTCCCTTCCAGCTCTGTGCACGTAAACATATCTGGAGGTGGAACTTAAAGTTTTGACATAACTCTTGCCTCTCCCTCTTCTCTCTTCATGCTTCTCCTCCCCTTCCTCTTAATCTTCCAGTGAGGGAAGGGGAAAAATAGTTGACAATTTCGCCTTCTGTTCTGCGACTTGTAAACATTTCTGTAGGTGGAATTTAAAGGTCTGGGACTTAACAACCCCATCCGTTACCTTTCTCACGGGCATAATGTGGCTGTTACGGCCTGATACCTTCTTACCTTATGACAGATCTTTTTTTTTTTCCTCTCTTCCTTTAGCCTCTGTTTATCGCTGTTTCCCTTCCGTACTACCCTTTTTCCCTCCTCCTCACCCTTCTTTCCTCCTCCTCCTCCTCCTCCTATCCCTCCCCCTCCTCTACCATCGAAAGGTTGTCATAATTATCTGGGTGCCTACTTCTTAAGGGGGGGATACGTATCTCGACGGTTGGTTTAAGGGAAATTCTGGGTATGCTGTAAACACCTCAAAATTCTCTCAACTGAGCCCGGAGTTAATTAACGGAGTCTCTTATAGTAGGTTCTCCGAAAGACAACATCAATATTATTCAATAAGTATTATTCATTACTAATGAATAAATCTGAATATTGAAGAACAGTTTTTTTAATACCAACATCTGTAAATGGATGGATTCGGTTTTACGTCACGAACTCCCTTTTCTACGAAGGGCTAGGACGGTTGCCTTCTTGCGAAGGACCTGTTTTGGCAGATGTAATCGTTACCCTGAGTGCATGCCCTTGCTAACCTCAGACCGTGACGGGGCGCGAACCCTCGACCTGACGCCTCAGAGTCGCGGACGCTACCGCTTGAGCCACGGTGCATTCTTCATTAATTTATAGTTTTGTATGAAGACTGTAAAATTAATAATGTAGTCACCGTGGCTCAAGCGGTAGCGTCTGCGACTTTGAGGCGTCAGGTCGAGGGTTCGCGCCCCGTCATGGTCTGAGGTTAGCAAGGGCATGCACTCAGGTTAGCGCTTACATCTGCCAAAACAAGTCCTTCGCAAAAAGGCAACCGTACTAGCCCTTGGTAGAAAAGGGAGTCCGTGACGTAAAACCGAAACTGTAAAATTGATAATGTAGTGTCAGCATTTATTTATCAAAGGGAGTCCCCGCGTTCACGTCTCCATGTACAGTAAATGACCTCAGGAAAGTTATAAACACCTCATGGTCCTCCATCTCTGGCAGACGAGAGTTGATTAACTTATCCCTTCTAGTCCATCCATATACCTTTCTGTGACATTCCCTCGTCTCTGCCTTGTCCTTAAACTTTTCTTTTCCTTCGTCTTGGTATTTTCTTGTGCCCGGGCCTTTATTGATGAGGGCAGTTTCTGCCTATCCTGGTGTCACACTTATAAAAAAAATACTTTGACTTTTAGTATTTAATATAAAAAGTAAAATCTACGCTTTCAGTATTTAATAGATAATAAATATATCTGCAAAATAATTAATATAAAGTAAGTATACATATGTCAAAGGGAGTAGCCGTGTCAACTCAGCAGGCATATTGAGTACACTGTTAAAAAGGGTATGACGTTGCTTCTACTCAGCAGCCAGAGAATGAACGTACATATTCCTGTTTTGTGGCTGTTTTGTTTTTTCCAGAGCAGCAGGACATATGCTGGCCTACTTGTTCGTACCTGAGTTTCTCCT